ACCTGGGAGGGGGGAGCCCCCCCGGGGCTCAAGGGACCTGCGGGGAGGGAGAGAGGGGTGACCCCGAGGCGTGGAGCGGCCCCGCGGGCGCGGGGGGGGACACCGGGTCTGCCCCGGGGACCGGGGATCTGCCGCCGGGCAAGGGCGAGCGGGCAGGGGGCAACGGGGGGCGGAGAGGTGGTGGCCGGGGAGCCAAGGACAGGAGGTGGTGGCCGGGGAGGCGATGGACCAGGAGATGATGGCCAGGGAGATGGAGAACAGGAGGTGATGGGTTGGGAGATGGAGAACGGGAGGTGATGGGTTGGGAGATGGAGAACGGGAGGTGATGGGTTGGGAGATGGAGGACAGGAGGTGATGGGTTGGGAGATGGAGGACAGGAGATGGTAGACAGGGAGGCGATGGACCAGGAGATGACGGACTGGGAGATGGAGGTCAGGAGGTGGTGGACAGGGGGATGGAGGTCAGGAGATGATGGACAGGGGGATGGAGGACAGGAGATGATGGAGAGGGGGATGGAGGACAGGAGATGATGGAGAGGGAGGCAACGGCCCAGGAGATGGTGGAGAGGGAGGCAAAGGACCGGGAAGTGAACGACAAGGAGATAAAGGATGGGAAATGATGGACAGGGAAATGAGGACCAGGAGACGAAGGACCAGGAGCCAGGCAGGTGGGGAGCTCTGGACCACACAGAGCATCCCGGGCACCACCCTGGGGCCCTTCCCAGCCACCCCCCTGAAACAAGGTGTTTGGCATAACCATATTGGGGAAAAAAACAAAAAAAATCCCTTTTTCTACGGGCTGTTGAGCTTTGATCTGGAAACCTGGGGGGTTGAGTCCCTTCAAAATGTGAGGAGAAGCTCAATTCCTGAGACCGGGACAGAGAGAGGGGCTTCCTCTGACGGGGTGATCCCCCCCAGCACCCACCCCAGCAGCTTGAAAGCTGTCTATAAAGCAAGTAATATTTTCATAAATAGCAAATAATAGTTCCCTTGCCTCAAAACTTGCACAGCAACCTCTGCGTGTGTCTTGCCAGAAGCTGTTAACAGTCTGTAATCAGTTCCTAATTTTGCTAATAATGTGCAGAAATCATTGGTGCAGGAGGAAGCAGCAGGACGGGCCCGGAGCTCTGTGTCCCCCCCCCCCCCCCCCCCCCCCCCTCGTTCGCCCCCCTTCTCCTCCTC